GGGTATCCTTATTCTAATAAAACATGACATTGAGTACTGGGGTCTAGATTTTATTATATTGCAACACCTATATGTCACCTTTAAATTTTAATTACAGAATGTTTGGTTGAAGAATTTTAGAAACTCAAAGAATTTGAAAATCTTGAAATTTGACTTCAAATTCTATCATTCTTTAAATATTTTATTTGGATAAGTCAATTCAAATTTTTTAAATTTTAAATTCTTAATTTAGATATAGTAATTTAATTTCCATCATGGGTAAAATTGATTTTATATATACATATATATATATATATATATATATATATATATATGTGTGTGTGTGTGTGTGTTGTGATAAATTTTATAAAAATAAGTATTAGTCAATTTTTAAAATTTAATGGTTTTAAAAACTAATATTTTAAATTCTTACTTTTTTGGTTCTTTAAGAAATTTCAAAGATGTTTATATATAAAATTCTTTATAAATTTTTTATCCAAACAAAACATTTCATTTCAAGATATTTAAAATCTTTTGAAAAAATAAATTATTTTATTTAAATTTCTCATCCAAATACACTATTATTACAATTTTAAAATATTTGTATGACTTTCGGATGCTATAAGTTTACTCACTACTTTATGTTCCTTTTATTTAAAAGTTTTGGACTTTGAGTTAGATTGTGAATGTGAATCATTGACTCTTTGGAGAAAAGTTTTGATAACTTTTATGAATAAAAAAAACCTCAAAATGAGAGAAATTATCTTCATATTCGATAAAAAAAAATATATTCCTTCATAATGAAAAAGAATGTTATAACAAAAATAATGATTAAATTTTCATATAAATTTATTTGAATATGAAACAAACATGGTCTATTGCATTATTTAAAACACTTAATTTTTTTTATGAATTAAAAACACTTAATTTAAATAGTTATTAAATCCACTTATTAAATGAATTTGAAAAAATGGCATAAATTTAATATTTTCCCCTCTTTCCTCTCTTTTCCCCTCCTCTTATGTTAATTCTTCAAATAAAAGTTATAACAATTAATGCCCTGCATTACTTTATAAAAAGGTTCGGTTACTTATTACATATAATAATAAAAATATTGATTAAAAAATGAAGCTTTATATCTCATTTTTGAACCCGTAATATTACTTAAAAAAATGAAATTTTATCTATACATATTAGGAGATATTAGATATGTAATCGCTTTTAATCTTTACTTTTTTAAGTGAATCATTAAATCCTTTAGATATATAAAAAAAAAAAACTTATATTTTATTTGAATAATTATACATAACATTCTAATATTTTATTTGTATATAATTATTAAAGGCACGAAACTCGGTTCCTCTAGTGTGTTATAAAGGGAATATTGGAATATATAATTATTTTTAGTTTTTATTTTTTAGTGAACCATTATATCCCTAGGATGTAAAATATATATATAAAAAAACTTCTTATTTTTTCTAAATAATTATCTACAACCTTCTAATATTTATTTGTATATAATTATTAGAGACACCTTATAATATTTATTTGTATATAATTATTAGAGGTATAAAGTATCTCGATCCTTTTAGTATCTTATAATGCGAGAACACTATTATATTTAATATTTTTAATAATATTTATCTATTTATATTTATTGAAATGTTACCTGTAGATTTAATAAATAGATTATTGCAACATTATTTTTTTAGACACTGTTATTATAGATTATGTAATATTTTTTTTATCTCAATATTGTTCTTCTAAATTTCTAAGTCTTATCCAAAATTATCCTAAAAAAATTATTTCTGAAAATTAAGTCAAATATTGAGTAAAAAGATAATATATAAAGAATTATTCCTTTGATTTCTGATTTTTTTTTCAAAATTAAAGTTTTACGTTGAATAAAATAATGACATATAAAGAATATATATAACTATAAAATAAAATTTAAGATAAATCAATTTTGATATGTGATCTAGATTTAGTTATGATTAATTTAAGATATTTTTTTTTACAAAAAAACTAAGATATCTTTAACCTTAAAGGACTTGTAAATAGGTGTCATAAAATATAAGTAATAATACAATATATATTAATATTAATTATCATTTTATAAAAGTTTATAAAAATTTAGTGATATTATTAAACATTTTTAAACAAATATAGAAACACGGAGTGTCTCGATCCCAGTAGAACTATATATAATGAGTATATGACAATCATTTTTCTTACGAATTAGTGTGTTTTATACAAGTTTAAATTTTTATTATTAATAATAATAAATTATTAAAATAAATGTTAAGAAAAATATTATTGTAGCTTTCATTATGGCTGGGGATGTTTAAACTTTAATTTGATCTCATCCAACACAAAATCATCATACCATGACAAATAAACAAGGATTCTCTAAAAAAAAAAAAAAAAAAAAAAAAACCCACTAGTTATTTTAGGAATACATCTTTTTGGACTCAGAAAGTTGAAAGAAAAAAAAAGAAAGAAAGAAAAAAGAGGGGAAAAAATTAATTATACGATAAAATAAAAATATAACAAAAGAAGTGTGATAGTAAATAACAATTGGTTACTTTTTTGTTTTTATATAAAAATAAACAATGCTTTAAAAATATAACATAAAATAAATTGATTCCCATAATTAGATGATAAGAGTTAATCTCTTACCTTCTCTCTCTTTATTGATATATACCTGGTTACATTCTGTGGATTTTCACTCCACTTTCATGTTGTGTGTGTCTCTCTTTCATCTGCTTTAAGGTTCAGAAATCAGCATATTTTTTCAACTTTTGTTTTCAATACGGTGGTTAATATATTCACCCCTTTTGAAATTCCAAACTTGATTTTTCTCACAATTTTTTTTTTATATATATATTTTTTCTGCAGATGGATCCTTCTGAAAAAGGGGTTTCAGATGAAGTGATGAATGATGATGTTGATGCCAACAACCCTCAATCGCTGCCTCATTCTGGCACCAAAATAATGTGTTGTTACTGCAAGCGCGAAATCAAGCGTCTGAAAAGAAGTGATGAGAATGCACCAGCCAATAGTGGTGTGAAGGAAGGGCAGAAGGAAAATGAAGAGAGAGGAGAGAAAGTGGGTGAAGGTGATGCTTCCATAGAAATTGATCAACTGGTTGATGAAGCTGTTGCTGAGGTGCTTGAAGGAGGTGCTGAAGATTGTGTTGAAGTTGGTGAAAAGGAAGAGCAAGAAAAAGAAGATGCTGCCATGGATGGTAACAATGAAGGTTCTGGTGGTGTAGAAGAAATAATGGAGGCAAAGGAATCTAATGAAGTTGTTGAAGGTGGAGGGGAGAGTGGTGGTGGTGACTCTGAAGAACACAATTCAATTGCCCCTCCAAAAAGTCTAAACTTTGATCTTAATGAAATGCCTCCTGAGGATGATTGAAGCATGAAAGTGGTAGATTAATTAAGTGGTTGTGTTTTTTTAGCAAAGTCATGTATAAGAATCAATATATGAAATTTTCTGATAAAGGGTGTATTTCATTTTCTGAGACAATGTAATAGTTTTCTTTTATCCATGTTTAATTTCTCTATGAATTTGCATCCTCTAGTTTTTCTTAGGATCTGTAAAAAGAGTGGTGGTCCAGGGATCATCAGAGTCAAATTTTGTTGCTCCTCCCTAAATTTTTAACTTTGACCTCAAATGTTTTCTAAGGAGTATCAAAACACAGAGAAGAATGATGTTTACAGCACCGACTCACCAACTTGTCCTGATGCAAATTAAACATAATCAGGCACCACAACACATAACATCTCAGTTTTAACACATGGTTTGTAAACTGCCTTTAGATTATTAAAATGAAAAAAATTTAGTAAAGTGGGATGTATATGGTTAGATAAATAGACAAAACGTAATTTATGATTAAATTTCTTTTTGTAGGAGAAATGTGTTTGGATGCAAGTAAAGTCCCACATCGTTCAAACAAAAAGATAAATATGGGTTTATATACAAACAGTTGTCTTTCTTGGTAGGGAGACCTTTTGGATGATGTTCAAAAGCAAATCCGTGAGAGCTTGGGTCCAAAGCGAACAATATCTATTGGGATCCATCTGGAAGAGAGGCTTTCTAATAACATGCAGGTTAGGAGGCGTGTCCCACCATCATTACACTACTAAAAAAGTGTCACTTTCTTGCAAAAAAATATTCGCAGAAATTTTTTGCGAATTTATTTGCGAAAAATAACTTACAGATATTTCTTACAAATTTTATTACAATTTTAATAATCATAGAAATTTTTTTTCCATGGTAAAAATTTGCAAAAAATATTGTAAGAATTTTATTTTGTTTCTTGTAGATTTTCTTGCAAAAATAAATTCGCAAGTAATGTTTACTAAATGGTAGAAAAAATTTGTAAGTAACTTTTTCTGCGAATTTTCTTGCAAATTTTAATCTGAAGGAAAAATAAAAAAAATATATATTTAAATTTATAATTTTAATATTTTAAAAAAACTTCAATTAAAGAGTATATAAGTTGGGGCAACACTTACCTTACAAGTTGATTTATATGATTGAGTGTTAGGCTTATAATCTACCATCTTAGAATTTAAAAGATTATGTATCACATGTTGGAGGCATGGAAACAAATGCTTCGGATGAATTTATTGTGAACATTTAAAAGTTGAAAAATTATTAGTAGAATTTATAGTAATTTCTTTATTTTTTTTGTAAAAAATATTCCTGCAAAATTTCTTGCGAAAAAATTCACAGGAAACTTTCCTGCGAATTTTTTTTGCAGGAAACTTTCCTGCAAATTTTTTTTTGCAGGAAACTTTCCTGCGAATTCTTTCGCAAGAAATTTCGCAGGAAAATTTCCTGCGAATTTTAAAATTCACAAAAAAATATTATCTACAAAGGTGTTACCTGCAGATAAAATTTCGCAGGAAAATTTGCAGGAACGACATTTGCTGCGAATTTTTATGAAAAATTTACAGAAAAAGTCGCATGTAATAAGAGAAATTCTAGTAGTGTAAAAGAGGTCATGATAGAGGGTTGTTTGGGATGCAAGCAAAGTCCTAGAATAAACTGTTTATATACACACAGTTGTCTCCAGGTATAACCCCCTTGTGCTCAACAAAATGCTTATGGTCAAAATCTTTCTTATTGCTTGATAGTTCTGAAAACTTTTGACTAAATCATCTATCTCTAAACCAGTATTGTTTGAGTAATATACGTATGTCTCTGATTCAAAAAATTAGTAAATAAATAACTACTGTGTTTGTATATATACAAGTAAAACTGGCTACAAAATTGGTTTAAATAGTCCATGTAGCTTTATTTTATCCATGTCAATGCTTAAAAATATTATAGTTCATTTTAATGTTAGTTGAGGCAATAATAGAATAAGACATCATTGTTATTTAGTGGTGTTTGTTTAAGGATTTAATATTGGTTCTTGGGAATGTGAGCATACAAATGTAATATTCTCATGTTTATTATGAATTTTAAAAAATTATTCTCAAGTATTTATTTTTTGAAATGATTTCCTCCCATATTTCTTATCTTTTTATTCCGATGTTAAGGTGTGAGAAATGTTTTCATCAAAATAATAGAAATTATATTCTAATACACTTGTAACTTTTTTAATTATTTCTTAAAAAATTCTTTTATATTTTAAAAAATATTTCAAAGAATATTAAAATATAATCAAACACGTTTTTTAAAGATACCTGCAGGGAATAATATTTCAATCGAAATATTCTTATGAATATGATTTCTGGAAATACAATGCTATGCATCATTGCTAAATGGAGTTTCTTAAAACGCTTATTTTACTTTGAACATCTTAATTAAAGCTAATGGTTACATTCATTTGGAGATAAATGATCTGGAAATGATTAAAATGGACATTGAGTTACTTGTAGATTTTTAATTCCAGATGATAAATGATAGTATAGTTTTGAAATGGTTAAAATGATCGGTTGCAAAAAAACGTTTATGCAATAACCTTGTCTTAAATGTGTATATATTCAATTAATGATGGATTTGACTTTTAATTTTTTTCTTGAAAATAATTCGTTTAAATATGTTTTTGTTACTTAAACAGCTGTGTGATTTTAGTTCTTAATCGAGCAATTTTAATATATCATATATTATAATTGTGCAATTTTAATCTCTAAAAAATTTAATTAAATAATTTTAGTCTTTTAAATATTGTAATTTAGTAAATTTAAGTATTGCACTTATACATTTTTATTTATTTAAGTTACATATATTATTAATTTTAATAATAATAAATATATATTATCTAATATATGAATAAAAATCATAATATATAATTTATATAGGTCAAAAAAAGTATATAATTGTAATATTTAAGATAATAAAATTGTTTAATTTTAAAATTTAAAAGATTAAAATTATTCGATTAAAATTTAAAATATCAAAATTGAATAATTATAATACTTAAGAGATTAAAATTATTCAATTTAAGTTTTGATAATCAAAATTGTACGATTATAATACTCAAAAATCTAAAACGCGATTAAGCCGAAATAATTTCACACCATACAAATATTTCTAAGATACTAAATAAGTCTAATAACATGATTGGGTAAACTGTCATGTATATTTAAAAATGTAATCACCTAATCGATCATATTTTCACTGTTATATCAGCGATCTAAATTGTTACTTTGTTTAGGAAGACTTAAAAAATTGGGTCATGAAAGTTATAGGTTCAAAACTAAAAGTGGTATTCAAGTGTTGTCTTAAAATAATGCACACAGTTATATATAGTTGGGTGTTCATGTGGTTGTAGTAAATTTTATACTCTAAACGATATTCAATTGGATGCAAAATACTTGTGTGTTGAAATGGAAAACGATCCGGAGCTAAATAAATACTATAGGAAATAATATCAAATTTGGAGATCAGGTATGTATCCATAAAAAATGACATTTTATATATAATTCAGGAGTATCTAAAAGGTGTAATGTGTGATACAATAGGTTGGAATGTACGTATATAGACAGAAATCAACTTTTATCCCTGTATAAGAATTTTCTCAAAAGAGCATAGGAAACACGTAAGTTAAACATTTAATGTTTTTGTTTTTAAAATGTATCTTGTTTTATAACTTGAATTTAAAAATCGTAGTCAGCGTAGGGAATATAGCCTATCGTAGAAAACTTTAATTGTCACCATAAGATAATAACATAATAGAATCCATTCAGCCACAAACACAAGTCTACACAACCTATAAAACCAAACCTAGAATCTTCCTCAAAAAGGATCTTAAGGTTAGCATTCTCTGTCCCACCAACACAATTTTGTGCAAAGACCCCTATATGTCCTCCAAGACTCCAAGCGATATAGGTTTCTAGAGTGTTACAAGTCTAATTCAACTTTATAAAATATGTTTGTAAGATAAATCCACTTATTATGATTTTATTCTTAAGTGATGTGAGATCTTCGATAATTATTATGATCATGTATACTCTTGGATCCCTTATGGTAAACTTGAACTCTAAAGGCCAAACCATCACCCATGTCGTTTTCCATCATCCTTCCCAACGTATGGTTAAGAATAGCAAGTCGAGTGGACCTTAGAGACACTTATTAATTGAGTGCCTAAGTCTCTTCGTGAAGCCACGAAAGGAAAAGATTAGACGACCTACGTACGAAGAATGTTGAACTCTCAAGCATATTCTTGTTACCATCAGTGGTCACATTGAAGGTATAATTTTGAAATGGCTTCTGTTTTAGAAGGTTTTTCGCATGTGTTGGGAGGCCACCAAGAATGAGTAGCCATTTTTGTTCACTAAAAATCCCATGAACAAAGCGTTAGAGTCACGTGGTCTCAAGAAGGGATGACAATGGGATTCCGTGGAACGGATAAGAATAGGGATGGTAAATTAACTTGTACCCGTGGATAATATCCGACCCCGTTCTAATTTTGACAGGCGTTTGATCGGGTACGGGTATGGGTAAAACCTGATATGTTAAACTGGGTACGGGTACGGATACGGGTATATACATACCCGTCCTCGTCCCCGTCCCTGATTGAATTATGTTAAAAAAAATTAATATTTTATTATGAAACATTTATAGTTATTTAATTATTAAGAAATCTCTTGATTAAAATATGAGATAGAGAAATAATTTAATTATAATTATAATATAATGAAAAAATAATTTTAAAATATTGTGTATATTTTTTGCAAAAAGAAATAATAATAATTTTTTACGGGTACAGGTATGGGTACGGGTATACCTGATACCTGACGGGGACGGGGATGGAGACAAAAATCATATACCCAGCGAGTACGGGTACGGGTAAGGGGATGAGTTTGAGTCGCGGGGACGGGAACGAATATCATGAAACTCGTACCCGACCTACCCCATTGCCATCCCTAGATAAAATAGTAAGATACTTGTACCAGTCTTTTAGTTAAAAACTTATCTCATACTCATTCATACCCGTACGGGTATCTGTTGACCAAATACCCATAAATTTTATAAATATCCATGGATATCCATAGATATTCATGGATATTTATGAATTTTTTT